AAAAAAAAAAAAAAAAAAAAAAAAAGCGAGTAAGAATCTGGAGCTTGACCTTTGAGTCCACCAGGCTTGTGACTATCCTAAGTCATCCTGAGTGCCACCCCACACGGCATCACATGAAAGGAAATCACATTATTTCAGAGGGCATGTGGTAAGTACGTGTGTGTCTGTCTACTGGCATAACAATCAGCAGCAAGTCAAACACCTAAAATGGCCAGGAAAGGGCTAACTAGGCACCTCCACACACTCGCTGCAGTTACAGAGTGTGTATAACACTTTGCCCTAACGACAGGCACAGCCATCCTGTTCTAAGCCCTCAGAGACCAACCAAAGCACTTTGGACAAATTCTGCATGTCTATAGAGGGGCAGCTTAGTAAACACTTCACTTGTGCTCAGAAATTCGTCTGTCTAGCAGGGAGCTCCTTCATTCCCATCAACCTCAAGTCTCTCTTGACTTTAATGAGCTGGCTGCAATCCTGAGCATTCCATGTGGTTTACTTTTAACTTCCAACCACAAATCTCAGCAGCTCACAGACTGCCAAATACTGCTGCATCCGGCCACAGGTCATTCCTAGTGACCTGCCTATCAGCAGTTCTGAGCATACCTGGGATGGGATGGGGGTTGGGGGCGGGGGGGGGGGGGGGGGGGGGGGGGGGGGGGGGGGGGGGGGGAGCACCAGTTCTTCAGGCAGCATCAGGGCAGGACCCCAGCTGTTTAGTTAGTGCCTCTGGCCTGCCACACATGGTGTTCATCTTTTAATGAATGACAGTACCCAAGCAGCTGCCTCAGCCCCTTTTAGAAGGATGTATGTGGACATGCAAACAGAGGTGGACCCAAAGTCCTTAAGAAGCCGCAGAACTAGCCAATTCGGACAAGCAACATTCCCAAGATCACCTGTACAGAAGCCAGCTAGGAATCTCCTCATCTAATCTGGTAGATTCTAGGCTCCTGGCAGTAAGATGTTGTTGGTCTGTGGGTCACATGGAGGTTGAAGCCAGATACCAAAGAAACCAACACAGGTCCTGAGCTCAGCCCAGCAAGGGAGAGAGGGTCAAAGTATGTCACAGCCCTCTAGCTATGAAGGCTGCAATATGCCTGGGGGCTGGTAGGATGGGTAGAAGGGGTGAGTGGGCCAGGAGCACCACCAGGGGCTACAGAAGATTGTCACCTCGGGGCTGGAGAGTTGGCTCATGGTTAAGAGGTGGCCCATAACCAACTCTGGCTCCCGGGGATCCAGTGTCCTCTTTTGGACTCTGCGGGAACCTGCACTCTCATGCACATACCCACACACATACATACATGCTGTAGAATGTCTTTCTGTACGCTGTGAATACGTGCTATTTTGATTGGTTGATAAATAAAGCCATTTGTCCTATGGCAGGGCAGGATGGAGCCAGGCAGGAAAATCCAACAGAGGTAGTGAAAGGAGAATGGAAGAGGCGGAGGAAACGCCAACCCGCCATCCAGGGAGCAGCATGTAATGGCACACAGGTAAAGCCACAGAACACATGGTGACATATAGATTAATAGAAACGGGCTGAGTTTAGTTATAAGAGCTAGCTAGCAAGAAGCTTGAGCCATAGGCCATGGCCATACAGTTGGTAATTAATATAAGCCTCTGTATGTTTATTTGGGTCTGAGTGGCTGTGGGGTCAGGTGAGACCAGAAAAAAATCTTCTGGCTACATATACATAATTTAAAAATAATCAAAATACCTATTTTTAAGTCACCTTGCTTTCTATGAAAGGCAGCCTGAGCACTGTATGCCAGGATTGATTTTGGCCTGGAATAAAACTAGAATTCCAGAAGCAAATGGAAAATGAGTGTCCAGTTACCCCCAAGTTACCTCAGCGTCCACAAGTAACTGCTATGCTCAGAACCCTAGCCTGAAACTGTTTCTATGAACACTCGTTCTATGTCCTGTCATTCCCAGGTCCCAACTACCATGCCATCTCCCTGCCCCCAGGACACGGTGTTCTCGCTCATCAGTTGACTCTCAGCTTCATCTCAGAGAGACTTTCCCTCACTATTCAGCCTGAATATTCTGTCATGCTTTGGTTGTTATTGCAACATACTCTAACCAGTAGTAACTGATATAAAGGCACGAAACAAGTACTTGCTAGATGACTGATTGGATAGGCAAAGCCTGAAGCTACCTGAAGGAGAAAAATCATACTCAGAAGACCTGATGAGAAGAAGACACAGAACACATAGTGGGCCAGAGGCCTCACTGTAAAGGTAAATTGTGTCTTTAGCCAAAAGGATTTTTTTTTCCAGTGCTAGGGATAGAACCTGAGGTATCATATCTGCTAGGCAAGCATGCTCACTGAGTTACACCTATCCTCAGCTAATGACACATCAATGAAGAGGCAATATCCTCCCTGCTGGACCACAGCATCTGTGAGCAAAAGACAACCCAGAGGCAATAGCTTCAGACAGCCAGTCATCTGAGTACCCATCTAAATCACCACCAGTCTATGGCCAGATTTCCCGGAACACTCCCTACTTCATCTAAAACCTTGGTGCTTCATCACACTCTTGCCCAGACAAGTGATATCAAAGCATATCAGCCTTTTAAAACGTTTTTTTAAAAACTTGTGTTATTATCATCCCACCCACCACCCCCATCATGACGTATATAGAGAATGACCAGTAGCTGGCATTGATGACAGAGTAGTTCTTTGCTTCATGTTTAGACCATTACAAGATAACAATGGAGGAAAGGATAGTGGAGGAATCCTAGAGCTAAACTGAGTCAAATCAAGATCTGCTACTATGTTGACTGACCTTGGGCAGGCCCATTAATCTCTTTGAATTTTACATCAATGATAAGAGATACCGGTAGTGAGTGCTCCAAGGGTGTGGTGAGGTCCACATCCAGACTCTGGTAGCTCATAGCTCCCGTGAAAGAGTTTGCCTTGTCTGTCTGAGTAACCTCAGCCCAGGGTTCTGTTGGACAAATATTCTGTGTGCTCTGATACCTGCCACAGCCTGCCTTGTCCACATTTCCTTTTCCACGGATAACAGAATATCCCCAAAGCTGAAACATCTCCCAGTGCTTAGGTAATCCCATGTCCTGAGCCAGACACGGCAGCAGAATTAAGCCAATGCCTCCCCAGTCCCTAACATCGCTACAAGAATCTTCAGACACCAGGTATCACCAAGCAAACACAAAGCCAGAGTCCTTCCAGACTGGGAACCTTTTGTGTTAACGGTCAAAGCAGGGGTCATGCACTTTCCCCAAAACCAAATTGCAGAAAGGTCCAGGTTCCCCCCCCCCTTGGGTGACACACAGTACCTGTAAGTGATCCTCACTTCAGTCCCAGGCTCATCTCTCTCCCAAATCAAAGCTACGGTCTCAGGGGACTTCTGCACATGCTGATCCAGGCAGTTGACTATGCAAAGAAAAGTTAACAGATGTTATTCTGGATGCTGTAGAAGAGGGTGGAGTAGGACTTGATCTGCTGTGGCTTATTACTCCTGCAGAGCAGGCTCTCCTCCCACAGAAAGGGTGCTTGCCACTGCTGCAGAAAACGGACACAGTCACTATACAAACATGATCTGTTCTTCAAGGTGACCTTGCAGTCACATCATTCCAGCGGTCCCCACACCGGCTGCATGGTGCATCACCACCCAAGACTCTTTGCATAATAGGTGCTAAGCTGGACATGCCTTTCAAGAAAGTGCTGCTCCCCTCCCCCCTCTGTTGCCCAAGCTCAGTTCACATGACTTGCTGGAAAAACACACACATACACACACACACACACACACACACACACACACACACACACACACACGGCACAAGGTCAGTGGGTTGGTTTACGGAAAACCTGAGGATTAGTGGGCTCAGTTCTGCTGACATCCTGTTCACTGATTATTTGATTTTAAAGGTGAGCCTAACCCGTGCTGGTTCCCACAGTGGCCCCTTCTACCCAACCACGTTTCCACCAGTGGCCTCCAATCTTCAGAGGTGGACTGTGGCAAGTGTCACATACCTTTTTCCAAGAGAACACTGGGACTGAAGTTATCTAGACAAGACAAACCTGCTCACAGAAGCTAAGAGCCACTTGGGATTGCAACAATAACAGTCAGAGCCTGGCTGTGGACAGCGCTCTTGAGGATCCACTACCAGTATTTCTCATCACGGATGGGAAATGTACAGAGATTGAGCAGCCTGCCCAAGGTCGCACAGTAACAGATCGATCGGGGTTTGACTCAGACTAGCTCCAGGGTCCCTCACACTGCCCTCCACTGTCTCCCCGTAATGGCTCAAATGGGCAGCCAAGAGCTGCTTTATGCAGCAGATGGAAGAAAGCTGAGGCCAACCTGTGGCAAAGGAGAGAGGAAGAGGTGTGATTCCACAGACAGATGAAACTTGGAACTGTGGAGAGCAGTGAAGAGCAGGCAGAGGAGAATAGGTAGCTCCTGCCAGGGGTGGAAAACCAAGGCTGTTGGGGAAGAAACTTACAAGCTGGCTTCACAGGTATCAGCTGAACATGCCCCCAGGCTGAGTCTCGTTCACCAGTGTGGTGCTTTGTGTGTGTGTGTGTGTGTGTGTGTGTGTGTGTGTGTGTGTGTGTGTGTGTGTGTGTATGTATGTACATGGATACCCAAATACCAAGAGTTTTCATCCTAAAATCATGGTTTCATGGCTTCTAAGCAGCCAGCAATGAGGTCACCCCTTGGTACAGGGCCATGTCCTCAGCTGTCTGCCATGGAGGTGACTCTGAGCTGGTTGTGACAAGTTGGGAAGGGTCACCTGAGAATCAGTGCTACAGAAAGTCCCGAAGGAGAACCAGGACAGGACTGGTTAAGAGCGGAGTGTCTGGGCTGCTCTGGACACCTGAGAGCTAGGGATAAATATAAGTCCTTCACCCACCTAGCTGTGTTGGGAAGCCACAGGAGACATGTCCCATATTCTCACCAGAGAATCTCTACTCTAACCCACCCTGACTTGTGTCATCCTGAAGAGTGGACTGGTCAGATGCAACAGGAAGCAGCCTTACAGAGGTCCTGGTGTCCTAGTGGACCTGCCCAAACCACAGTCACGGAGCTGCAGGAGGGGGCTCAGACCCCACAGAACATCGCCTGCTCCCACAACAGTCAAGGCACCAGCATCCTTGTGCTGCAGGGAGTGACTGAACTGAGACCCTCGGCCCTGCAAAGCCCAGCAAGGTTTCCTGCCTGTTTTATGCCAAGAAGGAAGGCAGGCTGAGTCAGGGGATGAAGAAGGCCGGGCACAGGTGGAAAGCGTCAGGGTACAGCTGGGTGGTCCCGTGGATCACTTCCTGGAGCTGACAGATGGCACAAATCTAGACAGCTCAGAGTAGATAGATCCCCAAATCCAGTGTTCCCCAGAGGCCTCCCACACTGAGAAGATGCTAGACCACTGGCTACCAAGACCCCCAAAGACATTCCCCTCCCTGGTGGACAAGCAGAGTCCAAAGAGCTCCCCCTGCCCCAGGGTCTTTGCACTTGTTTCCCTGCCTGACACTGCCACCCCTCCTGTTCGTGCTGCAGATCTTGGTCTATATTTCTCTCACTGCGCATGTCCTTGTCTGTGAACCCCATGCTTCTCACCCTTGAGTGGGATCAGACTCCCCGAAGAGCTTGTTATCACGCAGGAGCCGAGACCCTGTGAAGCACACCAGCCCCTAGCAGAGCCTGTGCATTTCAAGCAGACAGTCCTGCTGCAGCCTGTCTTGGTAGATGCCTGTGTGTTTACATGGACACCCACTGGATGTAGCTTCCAGATTCCATGGGGATTCCGTTTCTTTCTTCCTAGTTGGGCGGAAGGTCCTCGTTAGCCCTGTGCAACACCTGGCCATGCCTTACTGGCTGGTAGTCTGGAGCTGCCTGAAAAAAAATCCTTAAGTCTGGCCCTTGGCCAGCCACTCACTAACTACAAACAATGTCCTTGTCATTTACATCAAGTCTCAGCTTTTTAATCCACAGGGTGGTGTAGCAACCCCTGACTCTGGGCCAGTCTAAGAATTAGTTGCCCCCACGTGTGTCATAAGATTGCGTCGGAGGATGTCACAGTGTTCCCAAGGAACATGCCAACAGAATAATCCCATTCCTTAAGAGCCCCCACAGTGTGGGGCCTGAGAACCATGGCCCTGAAATGCCATGTTCCCGATGGCTTTTAGCACATATTTATGATTCCTTCTGCTACCTCAGTTACAGGGACGGAAAGATGGGAGGGAGGGGTAGGGAGAAAAGGAAAGAAGCAAAGAGGAAAAAATGGGAGAGAAGAAAATAAAGGGGAGAGAGGAAGTGAAAGGAGGAGAGAGAAGTGAGGTAAGAGGGGGAACGGGAACTTGGGAAGGGAGGAGAGGAGCTGGAGAAAGGAAGCAAGACATGGAAGATTTACCAAATCTCTACATTTAAAAAAGTAACAATCCGAAAAACTGGGCAGTGAGACAAGAAAATTCCACCTTCAAGCATTTACAGGAAGAACTGGGCCAGGGCCCAGCACAACTGAAGGCGGAGCTCAAACCGCACCTCCTACTTTGAGCCTTCCAAGTCCCCAGCACATAGTGAGTCTCTGTCCTCCCACCTCTCAGTGGCCCACACCATGTAACACTTCCTGATTCTGCCCAGGAGTTCCCATTTGGGGGCATGATGCTCCTCCCCACACCATCTGGGTCACAAGGGCCATAAGGTTCCTTTCTCATGGGGACTGGTTGAGATCCACAGTTCTCCCCCAGCCCTGTGGAAATCTTGAGGACGCTGTCCCAATACAGATTTACTTGTTTACTGTGTTAAATAAAAATTATAGGAGACCACTGTGGTCTAAGCTCTAGCACAAACCATACTAAAAATCAGAATGGAGTTGTTCATACTGAAGTTCGCATCACCAAGCTGAAACAGGACTGTTTATTAGACCTTTGGAGAAATCAGGATGGGAGACACAAAAATTGGAGCCAACTTTTCAGTGTGCCTGGTGGTGAAGTCCCCCCCACCCCACCTAATGCTTATACAGAAAAGGAAAGCCAACAGAGCGTAGGTGAGCTGTCCATTATTTTCATATTGTCCTATCTCCCTGTCCCTGCCTTTCGAGGAAAGTGTCTGAAAGAGCCAATCAGTTTTCTCATCTCTATTGCGCCTTTCTCAGCCCTTCCCTGTCTAGAAAAGCCAGCTTTCAATAATTGATATATTTTATGAGACTAAGTGTTGTCCATCTGAGAATGTTAAACCACATCGTTGTAATTCCCACCTTCCAACCATGGATTTGTAATTTGTTTCAGCTCAGGTGCTATGACAACAGGCATTTCCCACTGGTTCTGAGGTTGGGCCTTTGTGTCTCCATCTGTAAAACAGGACACCAACCATTCCACGGTTGCACCATTAAGAATGGGATACGGCCCCTGAGAGCAGGGCGGCCCCTGAGAGCAGGGTGCCTGCTCAGCCGTGGGCTCCATTTCAGTCACTGTAGCACACAGCCCAGCCCAGATCCTAACACAGTCTCTGAGCAGTTAATGCTTGTTAATGAATCAGAGATTTTTAGTTTTACTAACAACACAAAAAATTACAGGAGTGTTGTTACCCCCTTTAGCAAGATGACAGACAATAATGTGGGTTTCAAACTCCCACCCCTCCCCCTTCAGGACTAGGAACGGAATGCAGAGTTCCCTACATGCTAAGTAAGTGCTCAACTACTAGGCCACACCCCTAATCCAAAAGCTCTGATTGGTTGTTTAAATATATCCCCCTCACACCCCTCTCAAATTTTAGTGAACCCAGAACACAAAGCCTCAATCGCCATGAAAAGAAACTGGGGTTGGTAACCACACTGCGGATTCACAATGGCTTTCTTTAAATAGCGGACTTCCCTGGCACATTCTGAGAACTTTCGTCCTGAAAGTTCTATTTGCCAACTTTCCAGAAGCAACTGCTATTTAAAGCAAGTGATGCTTCTGACAAGTGAGAAGAATTCAGATTCTTCCAGAAGCTCCACTTTACGAGATTGGAGCTGCATTTCCATTTGGAGTCCTTTTAAAAACAAGCTTTGCCTGCATTGCATCATCTCAGCATCATCTGGTCTCTGAGTCACTGCCATCGAGGAAAGAGCATCAGCACCATGACTTCTAGCTGTGTGGTGCTCCCAAAGCATCAAGAAGACTGAGGGTAGCACTCAATGGCAAGTGGTGCCTAGCCTGTCTGAGAACCTGAGCTCCATTCCCAGCATAGAAGAAGAAAACACACACACACACACACACACACACACACACACACACACACGAAGTCTCAGTATTCAATGGTTAGTTAAAAATAGTTTAGTTAAGCCAGGCATGGTGGTAACTTTATCTCAGTACTTAGGAGGCAGAGGCAGGTGGATCTCTATGAATTCCAGGTCAGTTTGATCTACATACGACACCTTGTCTCCAAAAAGTTCGTGTACATACTCTTGCTAGAGTAAGAATGCATACGTTGAAATAAATCAGACTCAAGGTCTGGGATTTATAAAATAGGACTAAGATGTGTGTGGTGAAACAACATATACACCATGACCCCCTGGTTTTAGATCTGCAGTTTCCTGGCATCCTGAGTATATATATATATACACAAAGCAAAAATAATTGTGGAGCCCTACAGAAAACAGAGCCAAATGACCAAGGTCAGAAAAATCCTTTTTACATTGTGGCTTTCCAAAGACCCTACTGCAAAGTATGTTTCATAAAGCATTAGAGGCAAGTCAAGGAAGGGCCTGGAGACTGTACCTCCACCTACTCCCCCCACAAGCCAAGGGGCTTCCAACATAACAGCTCACTGTCACAGCTTGGGGACACAGAGTGTGGTTCCTTGAGAGCCATTTAGGCACCTCCTGCTTCCCATCCACCCCAGACTATGGGACTCAAACATGTGGGGTCTACTTCAGGTGGGCACAGTACTCAGCAGCATTCCTGAAGGACAAACTCAGGGTCACTACTTCCACCAAATGTTTCATTAATGATTAACAGCAGCGAGTGGTTAGGGCTGCAATGTGCTAAGGACAGTATCAAGAGCTTTACAAGCTTCATCTCACTTAATCCTAACAAGAGCCCCAGCCAGGTGTGCTGAGAACCACATCTGGTAGGGAAGAAGGGCAAACAAGTACCCTCCCCACCTCAAACGGGCTGCTCACAAGAAGCTTTAATTTCTGCACAATTCTCTTGACCCTCTGGACACAGAACTTTCCATGAACCTGGCCATTACACTGTGAAAAGCCTTATGTAGTCTGGGGAACAAGTTTCAGTTGAGCCCAGCCTGAAATTTCACTTATCACAACTGTCTGAGTCCATTCTCTGAAACTGTGATGAAATAACAGAGGACGACTACCTCTACAAAGAAAAACAATTATTTGTATTGTAATTCAAAGGCCTGCGTCTGGTGGCTTTTTTTTTTTTTTTTTTTTTTTTTTGCCTAGGGAGTCCTAAGACAATGCAGAGCATCACATGGTATAAGACATCCGTTATCTCTTCTGGCCTCTCCCTCTTATAAAACACCACGCTCTGACCTAATGTCTCTGCCCTGATAACCTCTCCTAATCCTAGTTACCTCCCTCATAATACCTGACGAAGGCACTTTACTTGGGGAGTTTAGGGGATGAACCATATTCTAAGCAGAGCTCCAACTCAGGCCCTCAAACTAGGACGTGAGAACTAGGCAGAAGAGTCTTGCTTGAGATGTCAGGGAAGGACCTGGGGGGCCCTGTCCAGAGTCCTGACCTAGGACCACAGAGGGTAATAAAACCGTCTGTATCCTGGGCGGGGTTAAATTGAAAGTATGTAACAATGGTAACTACAACAGTGTTCCAGGACACACTATCTTTAGTTCACATAGAAGGAAACATGGGAAGCACAGCAAAGTAAGAACTGAGACCTCAATGTAGCACAAAAGGCGCAGCTGAAGCCACCAAACTATGCTGTACCAAGCACCTGCACCTGGAAGATGCCCAGCTACCAGGTTTCTAAACCTAAGGGTCTAGAGTGGGCCCCAGAATTTGCATTTCTAAAAGCTCCCGGAGAAGGCTGCTGGCCCAGGACCATGCTTTGAGAAGCATTAGTCTGGAGATCCCTGAAAGGACAAGAGTGTCGCTCACACTTTTTGGAACAAGCTGGCATTATCACAAGAGACAAACAGATCTGGTGCAAACAGTTCAACCACTTCACAACTTCCTGGGTGGCTCCCAGGGCAGCGGCAGTCTGTCCCCTTTTCACACCATGACCTCTGGGGTTTGCAGACACTGGGAAAGGACAAGGACACTGCTGACAGTTACGCGGAGAAGCTGCTTTCCTGCAGGTCAGCTTGCTGAAGTTCAGCTTCTGGCTCACACAGCTCTAAAGGTGGAAGAACAGAGGCCAAAGAATTCCTTGAAGACCACACCCAAGCCTCACCATAAGGTTGATACCACTCCTTATCAGCTGCAAACTTGGGTGTACCAGTGGCCTTGGCCTCTTAAGCCTGGGGAGGTTTCCAAAGAAGCCGCACACTTTCTGCCCTCTGCCTTCAGCAAACATTTTTACTCACTTCAAAGGCACATTCCATCAATTCTACAGACCCAAGAACTTCTTCCCCCAAGTTGGAGATTTTGCTGACTCAACTCTAAAGGCAACACTTATCTAGTAAGAGACTCATTTAGATTAAACTTGCCAAGTAATATACAATATGGGGGAAAAATGACTGGTCCAAAGTTTCTTTTAAGGTCTTTAATCTTGCTTGAAGAAAAAAAAAAGACAATACCTATAATATCTGAATATAGTAAATCAGAATTGATACAACTTATTGATTACCAGTAAGTCTGGACAAGATTCTGTATCTCCCAGCACTGTGCTGGCACAGTCAGCTTAACAGATGATTATTACTTCCCTAACCATAAATGGGGAGATTGAGATGCACCAAAGTTAATTCAAGTGAATGCAGCAGACACCAGATTCCTCCACTAACTGGTCCTTGAACAAAGCATCACCTTGCCAGGGGGATCAGTTCCTTTCTTATGCATCTCTGACCCATCCAATCCTCACTCCCACCCCACTGGAAGGCAGAAGTCCCTGAATCCCTGCTGTGTGTGACAGAGGCTCAGCCCCTCTGTCCAGCCCCTCCTTCAGTTCTTGGACTTCTCAGTGCCTCAGTGGTCCTCCAACCTTAGCAGCACCGAATTCAGGCTCTTCAGAAAATAGACAGCTGGTGACTGGTGTGTCCCTTTTGGAGAATGAGGAGGAGGCTACATGGCCCAAGCTGGCCTTGAGCTCGGCCCAGCTCTTTCTGACTCAACCTCCACAGTGCTGGGGTTACCTGCCTTTGACACTGTAAACGTTTGCCTTCGGGGTGCAGTTCTGAGACCCAGAACTTCCTGCCCACACACCCCCGAGAAAGGAGATAACCGGTTCCCTCCCAGCGGCTGGTGCTTTTTCCTTCCTGCACCCACCAGGGCTCTGTTTACACTGCAGGGCTTGTCCCCAGGGTAGCCGCGAACGCTAGCACCCTGCTAGCACCCTAGCACTGTCGCTGACGGTAACAACCTACACACTGCGTTTATCCCGCTGACCTGGGGGCCCCTGAGCAGAAAAGTCTCGACTCTTGGAGCATGCGCTCTCTCCACCTAGGCCTATCTGGGGTCGTAAGCTGTGTGCCCACCGCGCTGGGGACTCCCGAGGTTAAAGTCTGAAGAAAGTGCCCCCAGAATCTGAGCTAGGGTAGGCCACTCTGACCTCAAATTGGCTATCCTCAAGTTTCCCGCTTGAGCCAGCGCTGCAGGTTTGCGCGCGTAGCTGGTGCTCCGCCAGCTGCAGTCTCTGAACCGGGTGGGATGCAGGACAGGGGGACGTGGCGTAAGGATCAGAGTGGGTGAAGCATACTGGAGAAAGGGGCCAAGGCCTGGGGACAGCTGCTACTGACAAGGGGCCTCCCGAGTCTCGGCAGGGACTGAGTTGGTCCCCAGCAACCCACTCACCAGATACATTCAACTGGCCTCCCAGGAACCAGCCGATCTTGCCCGTCCTAAAGTCGCAGTCCCAGACAGTGTGGTAGGGGGTGTCCCAAACTAGTGTGTCACGGGCCAGCGGCCCCCAGAAGGCGGCTGGCTCCTGGGCCGCCTGAGCGCTCAACGCAGGGTATGAGCCCGGCTGCGCTGCCTGGGGAACGCTGCCTAGGAGCCGAGTGGCGGTCGATAGGGACACGCTCAGCAACCACCCCGATTGTCCGGAGCGCCCGTGCAGGCTACGCAGCAGTCGCCCCACACCGCTGCCCAGGCTGCGCGCCGCCATCTCGCCCGACGCCCCACGCGGGTGCAGGAGCCTGAGCGCCCCTAAGAGTCTCCACCGCCCCGCCCCGGCTCCGCCCCCGCGGCCACCACCCACTACTCCCCGGCTTCACTGAAGCAGCTTCCTTGAGCCTGCCCCGGCCCCACCTCTTCTCCCCGCCTGGAGAGGGGTGCGAGCAGTGTGGGGGTGGAGGGTGGGGTGGGGGTAGGGGCGGGATTGCTGTGCACCCAGTGTCAGGCTAGCCTGCGCTCTGGGCTTCAGGTTCCTGTGTTTCTGCGATCGCTTTTTGCAACCAGACAACTTTCCCCGCTCACCACAGCAGCTGCAAGTACGTGGGCTGCCCAGGATCCGGACCTGGGACGTGGGCAGCGCTCTGAGAAAGGAAGGATCAGATTGGGAAAGCGACTAATGGGTCATGAGAGCGAAGAGCACAGATGGTGTGGATGAACAGTCAGTCGGTTCTGCATTCCAGAGCCTGAAGTCAAATCTTTCCTCCCTAGGCGACCTCCTGAGAACGAATCCCTCTCCCAATGGTGCTGTCCTGTACCACCACTCCACTCACACATAACTGACCTCTGGAGGACTGAAAGGCTGATAAACAAGCCTGGGGGCCTTCAAGCCCGAAAGAAGGTGCTATGAAGGCCAGAGTCCAGGGACCGTATTTATGTTACCCAGCTGAGGACCCCTGTCCTGGCAGATATCAATCGCTTCTTTCCCTGGGAACCTTCGCTGATTTGAGATGATGGGAAGCTATGTTGAAGAATAAAATCAATGTTCTCAGCACGTCTAGCCTGATTGACACTATGCACCATCATATCCGTCATGGAGAGGAAGGTTTTGTTATTGAAGAATCAAGAATAGAAAGAAATATGTCTCTACCAAGTACTTAAGAAGTGGTATCAGCCGGGCGGTGGTGGCGCACACCTTTAATCCCAGCACTCAGGAGGCAGAGGCAGGCGGATCTCTGTGAGTTCCAGGCCAGCCTGAGCTACAGAATGAGTTCCAGGACAGGCTCCAAAGCTACACAGAGAAACCCTGTCTCGAAAAACCAAAAGAAGGAGGAGGAGGAGGAGGAGGAGGAGGAGGAG